GCTCCTTAGAGAGGATGCCATTGACCTGGCTTTGAAGAATGGTCAGCTTTTCTATAAAAGGAATGGTATTGGAAATCTAGCACAGAAACAGGAAGAATGAAGGTAAAGAGGCATGTGGCACAGTGAGCACAATCGTCTGTGTGCCTCTCTGGTATACCTACTGTGTTTACTGCAAGTATGATATGAACATACCTTTTACAAAATGTGTGTTCTGCCAGGCAGTGGGCGTTGAACATTGTGAAAGGATAAAGCCAGAGCCAGTGTCCAGGAAGACCCTGTTACAGTTTCAGTGAGGGATGAGTCTTTCCTGAAGTAGATTCTCTTGGCAGAGGATATTGACTGAACAAAACTTGGCATGGTAACCTTGGGGGTTAAGAGGGAAGGGGGAGAGGAATAGGATTCTGGATAAGTAAGTTTATGCATTGATCAGAGATGGGTTTTATTTTCCATTAAGTTATGAGGGGTCTTTGGACATCCTCTTGGAAACTCAGATTATGGATTTCAGATAGTCCTTAGTATTGGTGAGCACTGCCTTCCTTGGGGTGGAAGGATTTGAGTTTGTACGGGAGATGGTACTAAACCATTCACAGATGGAGCCAGTGGTGTTTGCTTATGAGAATAGGAAAAATGACAGTACTAGGAGAGCAGAATGGATTTCAGACAGTGAAAGCCTGAAACGTTCACAGCATCTGATCTGTTCATTCTGAAGATACCATTTTCCTCTCAAGTGGTAATGTATCATTGTATGACATCCAGGTTTCCTAATACTTTTTTGCCTAACATTTTTAACATTCATTGATTATCTTTGAATTCTTTATTTCTTTGGGAGTTAAAAATAATGATTTTTCTATTTTTAAAAAGTATGGATTCTACTAAGACTCTTTGGCATTTTTCTGAAAAGCCAAGCGTCCTTCAGCAAGTGGCGGCACTGCTGGGGTCTCTATACATTGCTTCCTGAGAAGACTGGAGAGGCTTTTCAGTGATTTAATTTTTGAGTAAGGAGTAATTATCACCTCAGATGGTGAGAAATGAGCTTTATAAAAGCCAGGACCCACAGCGGTGGCAGCCCCACAATACATGACATTAAAAATTGTTCTTGTTTTTTTCTTCTTCTTTTTACTTCATTTAGAGTTTCTCTTGTTTTCTCAGGCATTGGAAGATGTTCTATCATTAATAAATTTATCTAACCTTTATTATTTGAATTTCTTGTCAGTGTGTTTATGGATTATGGTGCAAAACACTGTGTGCCTCATCTTGAAGTTCTTGTTTAAATGAAAAGGCCTTAAAATTTTGAGATCTGGAGAATCTCAGAGTTTACCTTTATTCCATTTCTTTCCTTAGACTTTGACCATATTTTCTCCAACAAGATCAGCTCCTCATTCCTTTGTCTGTGTTTTCTTTTGCCCTTGCAGTCATGTTCCAGTTCAGCATTTTTTCATTGCATTGACTAGAAACATACAGACTTTTAATAGTGAAAAATCCTTGCTACTGATGTTTATTTCACCTCCTGAGTTTAAAGGAAAATTTTATTTTTTACTGACTGATTCTTTTATTTATTTTTAGTTATTTATTTATTTTGGGTCCGGTCGTGGGGCCTGAACTCTTGGCCTGGGCGCTGTCCCTCAGCTCTTCAGCTCAAGGCTAGTGCTCTACCACGCCACTTCTGGCTTTTTTTCTTTTTGCTTATGTGGTGCTGAGGAATCGAACCCAGGGCCTCATGCATGCAAGGCAAGCGCTTTACCACTGAGCCACCTTCCCAGCCCCTACTGACTGATTCTTAAAGTTCATGAAGTTCCATGTCAAAGTTTTTATTGATAAGTATTTTAAATTTTTTGTTTTTATTTTTATCTGTCTCAGTATTGGCATAGATCCAAGACAATGAGTTTATGTTTGCTTTATTCTTTGGTAGAGCTCATCATTCAGGAAGAGAAACTAAAATTCTGTCTACAGCTCAGTTCTGTATAGTATTTTCCTATTATAAATCTGTTTTGTTTTTATATCATTTGATACTAATATAGTTTAAGGAATGAATAATATGAATAATTTATGTGCATGGAATTTATAGCCAGATTACTCTTTAAAAAGTTAATAAGTAGAATATTATGTTTTGGTTAATTTGGCACACATCTAGAAGTGGTTGGACTGAAGGTAAAAATTTTAATTTATTTCTTGTTGAAAATAATTTACATTTAGTTATAGAGCTAAAATTTCCCTCCCCTACTTCATCTCATATTTATCCTTTCTTTTCAGAAATTGAAAATAAGTTTAAAGCTCAAGAGTCAAAGCAATTTGTTATAATTTGTATGTTGAGAGAAGCATCCAGTATCACTTGGTAATCTAGGAAGTATTAAAAACTTAGTTAATAGTATTTATATACAGATATCATTTGGCCAGGTGCTGGTGGCTCTCATCTGTAATTCTAGCTACTCAGAAGACTGAGATCTGAGAATAGCAGTTCAAAGCTAGCTGGGCAGGAATGTTTGTGAGATTCTTACCTCCGATTAACCACCAGAAAATTAGAAGTGGAGCTGTGGCTCAAAGTGGTAGAGTGTTAGCCTTGAGCAAAGAGCTCAGGGGACGGTGCACAGTCCCTGACTTCATGCACCATGACTGCAAAACAAAAAGAGATACCACTTGTCATAACCATATCAGAGTAAAGTATTTTTGATAGTACTTGGGATTGAACTCAGGGCCTCAAACTTACTAGACAGGTACGCCCCCCTCCCACGTCCCCACCCCCACCCCCTATCCTGGGGCTTGAACTCAGGGTCTGGGTGCTGTCTCTGTGCTTTTTTGCCAAGGCTAGTGCTCTACCATGAGAGTCTTGTGGACTTCCTTCCCAGGCTGGCTTTGAACCACGTTCCTCAGGTCTCAAGTCTCCTGAGTAGCTAGGGTTGCAGGCGTGAGCAACCGGTGCCCAGCACAGTGCTCTACCATTTAAGCTATACCCTCAGCTCTTCTACATTTAGTTTGCTTTTCAGGAGCTTCCGAATGTTGTCAGGCTGATCGTGGACCATGATCTTCCTGATGCTGTCCTGGAGGGTGGATTTGTTTTTTCTCCCCTTATTAAAGAATACAAATCTACTGAGGGGCATCTGGGTTGGTTCCAGATCTTAGCTATGGTAAATAATGCTGCAATAAACATAGTTGTGCTGGTAGCTTTAGTGTGGTCTTGTTTGTAAACATTTGGGTAAATGCCCAAAAGTGGGACTGCTGGGTCATAGGGGAGCTCTATGTGGAGTCTTTTGAGGGACCTCCATACTACTTTCCAAAGTGGTTAAACAGGGGCTGGGGGTTTAGCCCAGAGGAAGGGCACCCGCCTGGCATGCGCAAGGCCCTGGGTTTGGTTCTCAGCCCTGGGGGGGAAAAATGTGGTATATATACACAATGGAATTCTATGCCTCCATCAGAAAGAATGACATTGCCCCATTTGTTAGGAAATGGAAAAACTTGGAAAAAATTATATTAAGTGAAGTAAGCCAGGCCCAAAGAAACATAGGTCCCATGATTTCCCTTATTTGCAATATCTAGTATATGTATGAGTCAAGCAAAAAAGGTCAGATAAGGTGATGTTAGGAAAATGAACCCTAAGATATGTATTTTAAATGTTTTTTTTTCTTTCATGCATTTGTTTCTAACGCAATTATAAGATTATTTCTTTGTTGCTTTGTATGTCCCTCCCCCACAGTATAACCCCTGCTTTCACTGTATTTGATGTCGGTATAATTTGTGGAGGGGAAGGGGAAAAACAAGTCGTTTAAATAAGGATACAGGTGGACCTGTTGCAACCATGAGAAGTACAAGTTGTCATGTCGAAAACGAACTTTACAACTTGGGTGGGGAGAATTGAGGGGGGGGAGGATGGGAAGGGATGGGAAGGGTAAACAAAGGAGGAGGCTACAATGCTTGATAAGAAATGTACTCACTATCTTGCCCATCTAATTGTAATCCCTCTGTACAGTATTTTCACAATTAAAAAAATTAAAAAAACAAAACAACAACAAAAAAGAATACAAAGACAGGGGAGTGTTTATAGCAGACAGAGCAAGTTTATTTGAAAGTGAAATAAAGATAATGAGACTCCCTGTTAGGAGAGAAGCCCCAAAGACAAATCCAATGAGTCCTCTTGGAGGACTTTTTTTTGGTAGCATGGGGCTCCTCCCACATCTCCTTACTTGTGTTCTACACTGCTTGTTTGATGGCTTGTACATGCACCACCTCGGCTCTTTTCATTTGTGGAATAGACACCTTGAGCCTTATGGGAAGAAGCATTTGAGCAGGAATCCAAGGCAGTTTGGAAATGAAATGCATCATGATTGACCCATGTGTTATCAGCCACTGTTATGCCCACCATTTTTTAAACCTGTCTACCTAACAGTTCCCTTTTACTCACCCCTGTCTTCATGTCCCCAAGTGGCAGGCAGCACTTTTCCTAGCCTGACAGGCCAGCATTTTTATTGATGTTAGTTAATCATTTACCTTCTGAAAGAGGCAAAAACAAACAACAAAAACAACCCAGCCCTGCAAGTCTTAAACCCTCTTCTCAAAGTTACAAAATTACAAGAATTTAAGGAAGAATCTTCTTTGTTTTCAACATTTTAGGTAAACTACTGAAGCTGTCTCAAGACATAATTATGACATTAGAAAGAACAATATATAGGAGAAAATCCTATGCCTGAGAAATTAAAATGTTGTTTAGGATTTTTTTACACACTTGATTATAAAAACTGATTTGAGTAGGATTGTTAAATAAGCAAATGTTTGGCCAGTTTGTATATGTTACAAGTGTGGCCCTCTTTCTTGCTATAGGCATTAGACTTTTCTGTTCTCAGCACATGACTACATTTCGAGGTGTAATTTTGTTGGAATGTCCTTAAATCAGCTGCTTTGTTCAGACTTGAGAAAATGTTTTAAATAAATAGAATAATTTTTCTGATACTAGGTATTAATTTGCAAAGTCTGTTTCTTTACAAGTCACTTTTCTGTTTCTTTTTACATAGAAAGATGACAACTACAGAAGTCTCCCACGGGATACTAGTAACTGGTCTAACCAATTTCAGAGAGACAATGCCCGATCCTCTCTGAGTGCCAGTCACCCGATGGTGGACAAATGGCTGGAAAAGCAAGAACAGGTAACATACTTGTGTCCTTGTACACACATCATTGTTATATCATCCTGTCTCACATGTCATTGTGCTAATATTTCAAGGTCATTTATACTAACAAGTTTTAGTTCAGTTACAGGCTGCATATTTAAGTTTGTAGAACCTAAATGACGAATATTGTTCTGCTGAGCCCCTAATGGAAGATTTCTAATGAGTAGTTGTATCTGCAGGCGATTTTTATGAAGAATTGTGACATTGGACTTTGATGCTAGAGATAGAGACTTGCTAGTAGGGGGTGCAATTGGTGATTAGGTTTTCCAGGCTTTGACTCTTCTTTAAATGATTACATTGGTCAAAGATGTGGAAAGCAAATGAAAACTCTGTTCTGCCTGACTTGACTTGATGAGAGAAATGTGTACTATAGTATTGTTTCAGAACTTAGATTATTTTGTCAGGTTTGGGCACTTACCCTCCATAAATGTCAAGGACTTATTTTAGGTCTGGTAAAAGTACTAGTGCAGCTTAACCTCTGAAGTCCAGTGCTTCCAAGTTTTTCTTCCTTCACTGAATACTACCTGGGCTGTTAAACAAGATGGAGGGGTGGTGACCACCAGCAGTTAGCTAAATGTGCTCTAGATGGCATTTTTTATTGCAATATTTGAAGGAAAAAAATTAGCCCAGGGTTTCTAAAATATCACACATTTAATTACAAAGATAAATCTTTTACAATTGCAGTTGTAAATGATTTTGTTTTAAGGATTTTTTTTTTGTAATTTGGGCCATAAAATAATTTATCATTAAACTAAAGAGGTTGCATTGAGAAGTCTTTGTTTTTTTAAGTCTCTCAGCCTAGACAACATTAGGTAGTTGATTTCTGAGTCCAGAAAAAACTTCCTTTACCAGTGGTTAAAAATGACAAGTTCACTGTTTGGTATCCATGAGACTCTACATCTGGAAAAGTAGAAGCCTCTCATTCTTCTTCCTCCTGTCTTATCCTGTCCCATCCCTCTCCCTCTCCTTCTTCCAGTCCCTGTCACTGTCCCTCTTCCTCTCCCTCTCCCTCTTCTATTGTCCCCTCCTGTCTCCTACTGCTACCTCCTTCCTTTCCCCTCCTCATTTTTTTGGTGTTGGTCTTAGGGCTGGAACTCAGGGCTTGGGTACTGTCTCTAAGCTTTTTATGTTCAAGGTCAGCACTTTATCATTTGAACCAAGCTCCAGTTTGGGCTTTTTAGTGGTTAATTGAAAATAAGAGTCTCACAGACTTTCCTGTGCCTGGGCTGGCTTTGAATCATGATCCTTAGAGCTCAACCTCCTCAGTAGCTAGGATTATAGGCATGGGCCACTAGTGCCCAGCCCCTCTTATGATTTCTTATTAGCAGAATGACCAGGTAGAGTGAAATCAGTGACTGGCAGCACACAAACAAAATTAAATCCCTTCCCCCTTTTTTTTCCACCAGAGAGAAGCATTAATTGTCTTAACTGAGTTATAGTTTCAGTTAACTATTCCCTGTGTCTTTAATGACTTGATGTCTCATCTGAGGTTTTTTTCTTCTTCTTCTTAGTTTTGCTATTAAAATATAACCCAGGGGTGGGAAGGTGACTCAGTGGTAGAGTGCTTGCCTTGCATGCATGAGGCTCTGAGTTCGATTCCTCAGCACCACATAAGCAGAAAAAGCCAGAAGTGGCGCTGTGGCTCAAGTGGTAGAGCGCTAGCCTTGAGCTGAAGAGCTGAGGAACAGCGCCCAGGCCCAGAGTTCAGGCCCCACGATCACCACTACTACCACCACTACTAACAACAACAGCAACAAAATAATAATAATTAAAATAAAATATAACCTAAAAGATTGTATCTCACAGATTAAAGAATATTTTGTATGGTATATATCTTGGCAATGTGGTCTTAGACTCTTAATATATTAGACACTGGGTCTAAATCCCTGGGATTCTTCCTATATGATCCAGCACCCTCACTCTACATGCCAAATAAAGAGACGAAGTGAAGGCAGAGAAAGAAGATTTATCATGTGGCAGCTACAACATATCTTCAGCCTTTGTAGGCATATGGACATGAGGTTTATAGACAAAGAACAGGACCAAAGGTGAAAGAAGTAAACATAGTTCTTACACATTCCTAGTGTGGCCTGTTTGACCTGACCTCAGTCTTTATCTCTGGTGGGATTTCTTAGAAGTTATTATCCCATCATTACCTGAGGGGTGCCAGCCTGTCACTCAAAGTTGTTTGGCAGGTTCTTTTTCCTGAGCTTTTGGCTCTTCTCTTCATTTAGCCACAGATGCCTGGAAGAAAGCATTGCCTATCTAATAGGAAGTTTTACCTTGTATCACAGCATGCTTATTGGTAAATTCTGTCCTTCATGGAATCCAAGGGGGTTACAAAATAATTTTAGGGGAGAAAGGCTCAGATCAAAAACATGGTGCAAAGTGGGGCCCAGTTTTTATTCAGCCTCTAAAGTGTGGGTTCCTCAGAGGAAACAGTTCTTAAGCACCTCTTATAGGCTCGTTGGGATAGAACTGATGGCTGTGCACCTTTAGTGATGCCATCTGTGCTGAAGAGGTCAAGAGCATTGTAGGTTTGATATGCCTCCAGTGGTTTTGTTTTTGCTCTGTTTCCTACTGGATTGCTTGTTGCTCATCATCTCTGGGTTTTGATGGCAATTATGACTGTACCAGCTTTGTGAATGGAATCAGCAAGGACAGAGGGAGTGCTTAGGAGTGCTGAGCTAGCAGTTCCCTCCAGAAACCAAGGGTATGCTGGGTTTTATGGGGTTAGCTCAAAGGGAATGTGCAGCTTCTTGCCCTCTGTCATGGTGTTGGTGTGTTTTCCTTCTGTAAAAGGAAAGGAATTGAAGCATTGGGGAAGCATCTCCATGACTTCCAGTAATAGTGCTCTTGCTTTCAATGTTGACTTTACCCTGCTCAGAATATCCTGCAGCTCAATCTTGAATCCAATTCTTTGGGATCAAGAGAACTCAGTGTCTTTCAGAGAACGTATTATTCTTATGTCAGTCTTTATATCTTCCTATTTCTGAGAGATCTCAGAAGAAACATGAACCATTTGAAAACTAGATAGTTTTTTTGTGTTACCTTGAAAAAGTTTTCTTGCTTCTGAAATGTTGAGTCTGATCCTCAGGAAACAAAACAAAAAGCCTTAATTTTCATGATGAATAGTGTTTCTAAAAGTTCAACGTCCTTCTGGGTGCTGGCAGCAAATGCCTGCAATCCTAGCAACCTAAATCTGAAAATGCCAGTCTGGGCAGAAAAACTTGAGACACCCCATTAGCTGGGTACAGTGGCTCTCACCGGTCAATTCCAAGCCATATGTAAATGCTAAAATTGGGAAGATCTCAATGCCAGGGCAGTCTGGAAGACAAGAAAATAAGGTACGCAAGACTTGCTGTCCATTAACATCACCTAGACATTAACATTAACATCCAAGCTAGACAGGTGATGTTAATGTCAATGTATTGTTCAGACAAGCACCCAAGAATTGAGAATATACCCTGTAATAATCAGTAAAAAACAGGGCTGGAGACATATAGCTCTGAGTTCAAATTCTTAGTACTACTAAACAACAAAAAAAAATTCATGACCTTTTTATAATGTTCATTAGTCTGAGCACTGGTGGCTCATGCCTGTAATCCTAGCTACTCAGGAGGATCATGGCTCAAAGCCAGCCCTGGCAGGAAATTCTGAGACTCTTATCTCCAATCACAGAAAACTGGAAGTGGAGCTGTGGCTTAAAGTAGTAAAGCACTAGCTTTGAGCAAAAGCTCAGGGAGAATGCCCAGGCCCTGAGCTCAAGCTCTAGGACCACACACATACACACAAAAAGTTTGTTGGCAGAATTAAAAATAGGAAACTGATAAACTGTATCTAATCTTATAGTTGATTAAATCAGATCTCTTCTGAGTAAATGAAAAAGTTAGCTTGTTAATCTACATGCTGTCTGAAAACAGGACTCTAAAAAGTGTTCAAAAATCTTAAAGAGAATATACGTGAAAATAGAATGCCCATGTAAGAAATGAAGTTTGTTCTGGAAATGAGGACCTGCCACATACAAGGTTGGTAGGAAAATGCCTACTGTACCAAGAATTAAGGAAAATCAATTTTTCAGCCTCCCATTAATCACAATTATTTAATAAGTACCTAAAAATTAAGCCTACTGGAATACTACAGGTACATTTGAATTCTTTCATGAATCCAGCACAATCCTAACCCTTGTGTGGGTGCACGTCTATGTGTGGTAGTGTGCAGTACTAGGGTTTGAAGTCAGGTCTTTATGCTTGCTAGGCTGGTGTGGCTTGAGCTACACCTCCTAACTTACTCAAACACAATTGCTTTAACAGACTTACAGAATTATATTACCTGATGCAATTAGTTTCTTTTTTATTGTTGCAATTGTTTTGCAACAGGGTCTTGCAGGTCTCCATCTGTGGGGTCAATTGATCCTCTTGTCTCACAGCTTTCCATTCAGCTGAGATTACAGGTAGTTCTGCCTTCCTTGTAGCCATTACTATTTCTCTGATTTTGCATTAACTGTAATTTAATATTGGCAGATAATGGGCCATAAGCTGACTTTGTTCTCATCTCCTCACCCTTTATTGAAACTAATAAATTCCATAGAACAGGAGGCAGGAACTTTACAGTTCATAATGGGACAAATTTAGGACTAGAAAGCAGAGGGAACTTAAAGAAGTTACAAGCTAATTGGGAGACTGCCATTTTCCCTACCTTCGCCTGGTGAACAGGCCTGACCGCAATTAGCAGGAAATGGCAAGGAGCTACAAGGTACTTTCCACCTGCTACTTCTGCTGTGGTAGGGAAGTGATTGCCCTGACCTTTAGTGGAAAACTGATGTTTTTAGGGTTCTTTTCATCAAAGAAAACTGCATCTAATTGGCAGCTTATATTGAAGGAAGAAAAGTTTCCTGAGTGTTAGATGAGGACACAATCCATTGAAATGAGGTTTCCTAGTCAAAAAGGAATTCCACCATCCAGTTTCCTGGCCAA